ATAACTTTGCTTTTTACAGAGAGATGTTTGGTCTTGCAGTGGATGGTCTTGAATCCATCTCAAGTCAGAGGCTTTCCCATCCTGTGCCAGCACTGTGTCACGGTGCCCCTTGTCTATCCTCAACCCTAGCCTATCACTGCCAACCAGCACTCGAGTTTGCCAGTGGCAATAAAGGAGAGGAGGAGAAATTATAACCCTGAGTCTGTGTATTAAGAGACTGTATCTTGAAACTCTCCAAATATTCTGGGTCACATAGGCGCTGGTCCTGTCTCCCTAGAGATTTAATTCCATTCACCCTTGGATATATTCCTGGAGAAACATTTACACAGTAATATGTGCTGCACCACTTAAAATTGTTAATTGGAGATTGAATTACTTGTCAGCTTTTAAAAATGTAGTTCTCTCAGGTCAGGGAGGAGGGTGTTAGCAGCAGGAGTAGATGAGCTATTGCCGTTTTTTCTTCCCTGTCCTCTTGTCTCTCCCCCTCCCTTTTCCTCTCTCTCATCCTTCCTCCTTTCTTTTGTCCCTGTTTTACCACTTTCTCCCTGATCCCGTGTATGCTTTCTCATATCTATCTCTCTTTCTGCCTTAGCCAAACCTTTATGAATAATCTGGCAGATCCCAGAATGACGTTAATATCAGGAATCATGGATGAAGTCCAGTGATGACGATTGCTCAGGAAATTTACAAAACCCCTTCTCAAATCTCTTGAGAATGGAAATATCCTAATGAGAAGGACTGCAGCAAGGACCCAGCTTGCATAGCTTAATTCTCAGATGCAGGAAGAATTTGTACTCCCTGCTTCTTTAAATAGAAGATTGCCCTGACCCACCTAGGGGGAAAGATTGGAGAAAGGGGGAAAGCAGTGGTAGATTTCATTTTTTATTGCATCGATATGCATCATTATTTTTCACATCTTGAGCACATGATTGCAAATATTTGCCTATAAGTCTGAGGGTCCCCAGCATAATGTGTATATCAGGACAAAAGCAATGTTTTAAAAAAACTGAACTAAGTTGCATCTGTGAAACTTGGAAATCTCAATGTCTGTGCTGACAAATATCCTGACAAGTAAATACTACACTCATTCAGTATTACATAGTGATTTCATTTGCACAAAACTTCACAGTGCTCTGCCACTTCAGTCAGGAGGCGGGCACCGGGGAAAGGAAGAACGTGTTTATCTCGGTCTCCAAAAAGGGATTTAAGGGAGAGAGCAGGCGGTATATTAGACTGTTTCCGTTGCCTGTCAGCTATGGTAAACCCGAGCTGTTTGCAGTGTCTCTAGATAAGCAGCAAGGGCTGCGGAGGCCTAGCATGCATGTATGACTGCATTCATTTGCACTTCCTGTGTATCTCAGAATTTCTAAAGGCTACATAGCATCTTTGGTGGGGCCTTTAACAATTGTGCCTCTGCTAATCACTGGCTTTTATGCGATGCCCTTAATTCTCAGGTCTGCCAGCCCCAATTAATGAATGCTGGGTGAGGCTTAAGTTTATATTGAGGGGGGATGAAGACCCTCTTTCCCCTCAGACTCAGCCCTTATTCAGTTGTGCTGGCGTGGGCTCTCTTCAGATGGTGCCTGTTTTTAATATTACATGGTACTGCTTCTCCACTTTAGACCTGGGGAGCAGCAAGGTGTGGCCTCAGGAGAGTCACCTCTGTCTGAATAGCTCCTGTGCTTAAGTGGTTATTGATGCTTGTTGGGCAGATAAATTAAAAGTTTGTGTCATGCAGTAGAAAAATGTGAGAGAAATAATTTGGGGAATGAAACACAGCAGCAGCTTATATAGAAATGCATATGTTAAAGTTGGAAAAAACTGATGAATGAAATGCATCTTCTTCATGAAAATATTATGGTGATGAGAGTTGTTTACCTCATATTTTTCTGTAGAAGGTTGGTAGGGCAACATATGGAGGAATAAAATAGTGGTTCTGTCTATGTGGGCTCCTTTCTTTGTCTCCCTCGATGCGGATCGGGGTTTGTGTTACTGTTCCAGCATGATCGTTTCTGAGTTAGGCAGAATGGGTTTTGTCCTAGCCCAGATTCTGCTTCTTTGGTTGGAGCTTTTGTTCTGAAGTATCCTAAAATCATTAAAACCACTTGAGTCAGCAATGACCCCTATAAATCAGGAGCTATTGTGTGCGCCCTCCTTCTACTGGTGCGTGCTCCAAACATACGGTCATTGAAGATGAACTGGAGGGTACGGCGCTCTCTTCACCGACTGTTAAGTAGCTATGATTGCTAGCGTTCGCTTGTGGCTAGTGAAGCAGGTTTCATTTCTGTGTCCTTCCCCTCCCCACCCCCGACCTCCTAAGATAAGGCTGGTCAGAGAGAGCCATTCGGATACACTGTTTATCTACCTTGTTCTTTTTCTCTTTAATTCCAAAATTAAATGAATCTTCTCACATGAAAAACATTTGTTTAGCCCAGAAATAATGTTCTTGTTTGTGGTTGGCTCCAGTTAGTTTTCTTTCTGAATCCAGAGGAGAGGAAGTGTAGAAATACTGCTGCCTTTTCAGAACAAAGCATCAGAACCTGAGTAAAGGGAAGACGTGAAGTTATTAAATTCTCGTTCCTTCCCAGTTTGTCTCCATTAGTTTGTAAGAATATGGGGCAGAATGGGCAAGTGGCAGAGCCTCTGGGAGTAGCCCTGTTACGGATGCTCTATTTCTTTGAAAGGCGGGGCCAGGACGTCTGAGGAAGGTGTGTTTGATCGGCTGTACTGCTCTTGGTGTACTCTGGTCTCTTCGCGGGTTCTTCGTAGGTCCATTACTAATTTTGGAGAAATTCTAAGTGTCTGGAGATTATCAAGCACTAGAGGCAGTGTTTCATAGGAAAGAAAATAGTGATTCTCAGTAGAAACTGGTCCAGCTCTCTCTCTCAGGCAGCAAGTTCTTGGCTCCTAACAGAGATGGTGAATGTCAGGTATTCACAGTCAGCACAGTGTCTCCTTTTTATCCCCCCCTTTCAGCTTTATTTTAATAATTAAAAATACTGCTGATCACACCGAATGACTTCTGGCAGAGAGGCGGTCTGTCCCAGAAGGACCAGTTGTGGGCCATCAGGTTTATGACGTCCATAAAACCGGAGCCAGATCGGAGCATGGCCTCCCTGAGTGACAGGGTTTCTGCGTCCATCAGGGTCTCCCCCATCCATTCCCTGCTTTGGATATTTGCTTTGGTTTGGGTTTTTTTGTCCCGTTTTATTTCCTGATACATGTGTGCATATGTGTACACATTTAAAGATATAAATGAAACAGGTATGTGATGCCCTCTGCCTGTTAGAAAGACTAAAGCCATAAAAATAACAAACGGCGTGTATTTGCTAGAATGTCAAAGTTATGAGTTTATTTTGTAATGATGTGCTCCTGCCTTCATGAGGTAAACTGGCCGTGGCGGAGGTGTTATTAGTAATATGGACTCAGTGGAGCAGAAAGCCGAGTGACCGAGAGATCAGTGTATCAGTCAGAGAGAGGGCAAATGGAAAGAGACAGCAGGAGAATGAGAAAAGAGCCGCCGGCCTGGGCTGAGATTAAAGACAGGCTGAGAGGAGGATGGGAGCCCAGTGGTCAGATATGGCCTCCGCTGTTCCCCGGGCTCCTTCAAAGGAGCTGCTGGCATGTTGCTCAGCTCAGGGCTGCCTGCAAAGGCTTGTTCTCGGCACTTCCTTATCAAGGGAAGCAGCGATCTGAGAGCAATTTTGCTTTCCATATGCTTTTCAAGGAGAGTTTCTTCCGCCCTTCCTTGCTGAAGTTAAATGGAACTGAGGCCAGCAGGGTCACACTGAGGTGATTACTTGGTCACCAACTTCCTCAGCCTTTGGGGGATCTTAATGTAGGGGCTGACCCAGCAGGCGGGGGAACCTCTTGGAGCTCCTAACCAGAAGGGGCACAATGGGCATATACAGAACCTACTGGTCTTTCATTTATTAGGTTCTCCCCAGAGGCTGGAAATGAATAAAAGTTAGTAAGGAAGAAATGTTGTGTTGTGGTTATTTTCTAAAGGAGGAGGGGAGAGGGAAAGAAGAAGTAAAATACAGTAAGCGCTCTACAACTGTTTAGAGCTCTCCAGGGCTACCCTAGATGACTGGCAATTACTAACACTCAGCAGTTGCAATAGCCAGTGATCAGGCTGCCCGGCTTCCATCCGCTGGGTCAGAAAAGCTCCCTCCCTGAAAGGAATTACTAACCAATCTTCAAGAGAAAAAGAAACCCTACAATTTCCAAGTTCAAGAATATTTTTTCTTCTTTAACCGAAACTTTGTGGTTTTCAATTGCAGGTGCCTGCCTTCCACCTCACAAGGGTTAAACTCTAGGGATACCCCTGGGATTGAGACTCCGACTTCCCAGGAACCTTGGGAGGGAAGGATAGAGGGAAGGAGGCGGGCTTGGGTATAAATCACTGCCCTGCACCCAGCACACAAAGGACTATAGACTCGAGGGTTCATGTCTGTATCATGAGATGCTTCAGGATTTTGCCAGCCTTAGGGCTTATGTATCGAGACCAGCTTTAAAAATCAAATACAAGGGAAAAAGTAATCCTTTAAAAAAGGGAATCTAAACCTCACAGCACTTTTTTAACTGAGACTTGTGACTGAAGATTGTCAGAAGACGGGCACATTACCTGTTTTGTGTACATGCACAGTAACTCCGCCAGCCTGCAGATGCTGCAGTAGCTGCTGTCTCGGGTCCCAGGCTCGCCCACCGCTGTGGTTTCAGCTCAGTGTGAAGGATGCTGTGCGTATCTTTGGCAGTTAGGAGAAAGAGAGGGAGAGGCTTGCTCGTTTTTAAATTGCAACAGTATATGTGATTGTTTAAAATCCTTTTTTGTTTTCTACGTTTTCTTTTTAGGACAAAGGTCCAGATAGTCCCTTTGAACAAACCACGGAAGCTGGAATCTCTGTCTTGGGGAGAAAAGAACCCTTTTTAGTGAGAAGAACAAAATAGACTTGGCCTTTATTTCTGTCAAGACCAATGTCTCTTGCTCGTTTCTCCAGGTCCTCGGGCGGGAAGTATATACCTCCAATAACCAGCTCGGTGGCATCCAGATCATGCACAACAATGGGGTGACCCACAGCACCGTTTGTGATGACTTTGAGGGGGTCTTCACTATCCTGCACTGGCTATCATACATGCCTAAGGTGAGCCTGCAGAACCCGGCCTTTCCACCACAGCTGCTGCCTCTGCACTGGAGAACTCCTCATAGTGCAGGAATCTTTTATGAAATGTTCCTCAGAAAGCTGTTGATTTCTTTTTTTCTTAGAGCCATCTTTTGCCTTCTACCTTTAAAATGCCTTTGGGCTCTGGCCAGTGTTGCCAAGTGGTTGGAGCGTCAGCCCGTGCACCAAAGGGTCATGGGTTCAATTCCCGGTCAAGGGCGTGTACCTGGGTTGCAGGTTTGATGCCCAGCCCCGTTGGGATGGGTGTGGGAGGCAACCAATTGATGTGACTCTCTCGCATTGATGTTTCTATCTGTCTATCTATCTATCTATCTATCTATACCCCACCCCTCCCTTTCATTCACTCTAAAAGGTCAATGGAAAAAATATCCTCCAATGAGGATTAAACAACAACAACAAAATCTTCCGATTTCATTGGTTAGGCCCCTTTCTGATGTTTTCTAGCCACAGGAGTCTCCATGGCCTACCTGGGCTCAGATCCCAGCATATTAAGGCTTTCTCCTCACTGTGGGTTTTCTCCTTTGTAATACCCAGCCCTCCCTCTGGGAAGCTTCCCAGAAAGCCTGGGCACACTGCAATCACTTGGCGCCAGAGTCCTACATGGAACTTGAGACCTGCTCCTGTTCCTCAGGGCCTGGCATGCCATTGGAATGCTTCTAGCTGCTGATTGGGGCTCATGGGGGTAACTCCGCATGAGGGCCCTGTTGTCTTTGTAATGAATGTTGTCGCACTGGATTGACGTTTACTGACTGCTGTGCTCTTTCCCTCCCAATCTCCTTTCAGAGCGTGAACAGTTCCGTTCCTATCCTGAACTCCAAGGATCCTATAGATAGAATTATCGAGTTTGTCCCCACAAAGGCCCCATACGATCCTCGATGGATGCTGGCAGGCCGTCCTCACCCAAGTATGTATATGTTTAAGGATTCTGTGGTCCCTGGCCCTCCAACTTTCAGGGTTTTTCTTCCCAACCACAGACCAATCTCTGCACAATAGCACGTGACAAAGAAAACAGCTACTAAGTACCTGGAAGTAAGAAAAATCTGAAGAAAAAGGGGAAAATTCTTTAAGAACAAATGAAAAATGAGATGAGATTTGCAAATCAGCCATTGAGTCATAAGCAGTGCAATCGCTAATACATTGCTTCTGTTTCTTCTGCTATTAAAGCACTTACTATTTAATGGGCTCAAGGACTTTAAAGCAGTTAAATTAAGTCATAAAGTCATAGAACTATAGGACCAGAATCTTCGGCCATTTAGTTTCTATAAACAGGTTAATTGGGTCGGTGCTAGAAAGGTCTTTGGGACCCCTCCTTGTCAAGTGTGACTACACCTTTCTCAGCGAGCTACTGCTGAGCCCCCCTGCATGCACCCTTCGTTTCTTACGATAGTGGTAATAGTGTTGGCACTTGCTTTAGTTATTAATGTAAGATCATCTACTCATGAAGAGATTGTCCAGAACTTTTAATTTTACCAATATATAGAGCAAGAACAAGCTCTTCGTCCATGTTTCTCTAATATAGCCTTCTGTCTTGGGGCTGATTTTATCTTAACTTTCCAAACAGAAACAAAGGAAGAAACAAACAAACAAAGGTAACTCCATGCAAGGCAAATGTGTGTTTTTGTTTGTCAGTCCATTTGGCTGTTTCACAAACCATACTCACTAGGAAGTTCTTCTGTGAAGCCCAAGTCCCCCTGCTCCACTTAGAATCTATTGTTTCAAATTGTTTAAGAAAGTGTTTGTTCTTTTTTGTATGTTTATTGCAACTATTGCAAAGAAAGGCTATATCTTAAAGAGATAATTAAATTTGAATCAATTGTGATTTTTGTTGAAAGAGAAAGAGGTCTTCATAAGGAAGACTTAACCTTTGTGGGCACCCACTCTAAGCCAGGTGGGATGATAAAGCATTTTATATACATTATCTTATTTGGGCTTGCTGCCTCTTACAGCTACAAAGAGATCATCGTTTTAGGAGCTCAGAGAAGTTAAATGGTTTGCACAGGGTCACACAGCTATTACTTAGGAGCTGGGGCTAAATCTGAAGCCTAATTATAGATAGTGTAGAAAAATCACCAAAGGAAGGTTGATTTTAATTTAAAATTTTACCTGTTGTCTTCAGTACCTTTTCTTATTAATCTTAATGAGACTAAATAGTTTTTCTTATGTAGCCAGAAAAATCACCATTGTAATTTCTCTACCTCTCATTTTTTATACCATTTTTATATTAAGCACTATGAACCCAAGATAAAATCCAGGACTTTTGTGAGAAAATTCAGAACAAGATTCAGTGACTGTTCCCCTAGGAATCATGGGGAGCCATGGGAGCTGGCTTCTAAGTTCTACATTTGAACTGAACATGACCAGCTCTCTGAGGGCAGTAAAGCCCCCCCCCCCTGTAATAGCCATAGCCCCCAGTTGATAAATAAGGCAGGAAGGTTTTTAAAGAAGAAAACATTTCCATTTTGAAATGAATTTTATAATTCTAAATTATTGTTATTGAAGTACGAATCATAAAATGACCCAAGTAGATGAAGTTAAAATTACAATATCCTGATGCATTCAGAAACGTGGTTTAGAACTGTCATCAAAAAATGTGCTCTCTTTCATGGGGTGAACAGGTATGAGGCGTGTATGGGGGAAGGTGGGGCATTATCTTGGCCATTATTAATGAGATCTACAGAGTAAAATGGAATTTGTGATAGACTAAGTTTTCTGGGTTTGGGATAATATTTTTTCATGGACTCCCTAGTCATTCATCCTGCTGTCTGTGTGCAGCTAACACTCGCTCCCAAATCGAGTGACTTCGGATTTTAATTTAGTGGAAACGTTAAGGAAAGCAGATGATTCCCTGTGATAAGTTAAAGCAGATATCTTCTAGGTGAAAAGTTAAAGTCATTTATTAGAGGAGATAGTGCTGTGATATTCTTCAAACTGACGCCCAACACGAGACCAGAATCTAAACGATCGGCTTTGGGCTCACGATAGAGAGATAATTTTGAAATGGATGATCACATTTTACACTGGGGCCATAGAGGCAAGGAATGTAGAACACAATAATTACAAGTTTAGTCTTGATAAAACACTCTCCATCCTGTTTAAGTCAGCAGAGGTTAGCTTGCTCGGATCTCCACTTTTAATTGGTTTTGGACTTGGGTTTTTAGGGGGCGGAGGGCCATGTTCAAATTAGAAGAATCACTGAGAAGCCATGAGCTGAGAGGGCACGCTAGGAGACGGTTATTTGCAGAAGCTTTTATGGGGCCCTGGTCAAACACAGATACCTGTTGGACAAAAGGGTTTGTTGTTATTTTTTTCCTTAAATTAAGGTGTTGAAAGTTAAGTGTGCTGCCAGTAAAGGAAATTCTATGTGCAAGGGAGGTTAATGACAGTAAGTATATGCATCTTAACCATTAAATTTTTCCTATCTGTCTATATGTAGGCATGGCCCTTTCTTGTGGAGAGATTATACTTGGTCAGCTATAAATAAAGAGGAAGTATATTTTGTTGCTTTTGTAGCAGAAAAGTTGAGTCCCTTTTCTTTTCCCCAAATTTGGGTCCTCATCTGAATATTAATACTTACCATTTGGTGGTCTTCAGCTTTCCATTAAAAGAAAATCAGTGAAATCAAACAAAATTGTAAGCTAAGCTTTAAAATAGAAGTAGACATTTTGAAAACATCTTTAACGACTTGGCTGCCTTTTGACAAACGTTTGTGATGTTTTGAAAAAGCCAAGTTATTTATTTAAAAGCAATGCCAACTCTCTCTGCTAGCTGAACCCCATCGTTTAACAATAAATGATGCTTTTGCTGATAAATGAATCTATGCAGTCTAGCAAATGAACTAGGAGATGATGTCTGAAGGCAGATGAACATTTAGCTGCCTAATGCTTCCATCTATTATAATATGGTTAAAAACACAACAAACTCCCCAAAATACTCCCCCAAATCCAATGTTAAATTTGCTAATTCCAGTGCATTTTTAGTGAATTGATTTGTTCTCTTTCTTTTCCTCTGTAGCCCAGAAAGGTCAGTGGTTGAGTGGATTTTTTGACTATGGGTCTTTCTCGGAAATCATGCAGCCTTGGGCCCAGACCGTGGTGGTTGGCAGAGCCAGGTAAGAGCTCTTTTGTTCTGGAAGCTCCTTTTCCTCCCAAATGAAAACAAGAAAGGAAAGGGCCAGGACTATACAGGTTCTTACCAACAATGCTCTCTTTGTCTAAACTTTCTAAGAATATTGGATCATGGTCATTCCAGAGGCAGCATGACTGGAAGACCAGTTCCCAGCAGTCATTCAGTGTGTGTCTCCAGTGATGCGTTTAATCTAAAGTCTAGTTTTGACAGTTTCCTCGTTATAATGCTGAGAGAAACACTGTTTGGGGGCTGTAAATAGCTACAGCCCGCCATGACCACCCCCCTTCCCAAAGACCATTTTCTTTCAGAAGTAGGTGACAACTAACTCAGTCTCACCTACTTCTCTATGTAACTTGAAAGAAGTTCCTTCATGTCATCGAGCTTATTTAAGTAACAAGGTAGTGGCACTATATTGGTTTATCGTCAGATTTGAATTACCCCAAAAAAGCGTTTACCTGAAGCAGGAGTGAGTAAAATAAGCTGGGATACCTGTATTTTTCAAATGGGAAATTAAAGTTTCTGTTAGATTTTAATACCCACTCTAAGAAGTGCTTCACTCAACAGCAAGCTCCACACGAAATAATCTGTAGCGCTCGCCATAACGAGCGCCTGATCTTAATCTCATCCTGCACTGCAGAGACCTGCTGCCCTCGGGACCCACATCTGGAGCTCACCTTCCTCTCGGGGGCAATCAGTTTCTCTTATCTCAGTGAAAAGTGGCACCTGCCCACGATTCTCAGACACGCCACATCGGGTTGAGATTTAGATTCTAGCCTTGAAAATAATTCTAGGCTTTGTGGTTCTCTCAGTACTGCGGGTCAGTATGGCTTGTGCTGCCAGTGACAAGGAGCCATCAGATGGCAAATCCCACAGACAGGATCTTCCCCTGTGGCAAGAATAAGAGGCAGGCCAGGAGTTAGCCCCGACAAGCCCACAGGGACTGGCTCCCGTTTTCCTCTCGCCGCGTCTCGGGTCTTCCACCTAACCCCAGGCTTCTGCGTCCCAGTGAGAATTCTTTGTGCCTGGTAAAATTCCCACTGGGGAGGTGGCGGGTGCACTAGAGGAGAGAGCCCTTCTACCCGGGACCTATCAGTTTGCTATAGAGAGTCCTCCCACCACATTCAGACCAACTTTTCTGAAAATTTTCCTCTTACCTATTCTGCTTCAGTTTTCTTGTTTGTAAAAAACCTGACAGATTTTTAACCCTCCAAAAGCCAAACCTTTGTTAAGATCTTTAATATTTTCCCATGGGAAACAAGATAATAATGTTTTACCCTTATGATTGGAAGAATAGGGATTGTCTGTGAGCAAGATCAGTCAAGTGTGGCTTTGGCTAGCTCTGCCATTGTTTATTGTGACACTCACTCTGACTTCTTTCTTTCCATCTGATGAGTTCTGGGCTTCTTGCTCCAAACACATACACATGCTCACAAGTATATAAAACACAAATGGAGCTAGCTTCTTTCAAAAGCAATGGCATTTCGAGAAATAAATATAAATGTATTCTTCTGGGATTGTTACTGTAAGTGCTGCCAAAACTCATCTTTGGTATGTATGTTTGGAATATGTGTGCTATTGGCTGTAAATTGTCTTTTATTATTCCATGGCACCTTGTCCAGGGACACACTATAAAACAAGATGTAGCATCTTCATGTGCTAGCCTGATAAAATTTATATGAAGTATAATAGAAAACAGAAGTTGTTCTGAGCTGTTTTCAAGTTCAATAAATAACTGTAATACTCGGATAAAGATGTTCTTTATTAGGTCACATGGGCCCTAATATATAAGTTATAAGTTACCGATTTAGGGTGGCTTTTGCAATTACAAGTTTCCAGTTGGATTGTTAATCATTGTGAACAGAAATATTTCTAAACCCTCCTGTGTACCTCCTGCTCATTGTCTGGTTGTCTAGAGGGCTTTTGATTCTGATTCAGTGCAGGCAAGTGACAAGGGGGTGGGTGGTCCCCACTCAGGCCCCTGTCAGGCCTCTTGTGATGATAAGAATCCATTTCCAGTAGCCAGTGTAACAACCAAAGACCATCCTTCATGGAAAAGTTTGTTATGGAGATGCTATGGGGGGATGAGAGACTATAACCCATCCCAGTCCCAACCCCAAGGAATGCAGCTGTGAGAGTGAAGATTGAATTACATTTCTGAGTAAGGACTCGCCCTGTACCTTGCAGTTCTCTTTCTCTGTCTCCGTCCCCCTCCTGCTCCCCCCGCTTCTCGATTTCTACTTTCTTTATGAGGACCATGTTGGGAGGATATCATGGATGCGGAGGCTTTGAGCTCCTGGACAGTTGTTAAAATTAACGTAGCTTAATTTTAAAATATATACTTTCAATACTGATCATTTGTTTCACCAAGATTACTATAGAAAGTTTTCTCTATCCCATTGCTTTTTTCTAATGAAGAAGGAAGTTAAATTGTTTAACCACCTGCCTACACTTGACACATTTTTCTTCATCCCCATAACATACCTACACACTCCCCATCCACATGCCTAGTGGTGAGACCTACCCTCAGATCCTATCTGGAACCACACTATTAGTACTGCATAGGAAACTACAGCACTGTTTCAGCAATGCCATCATTTGTTAAAATAGTTCATGAGAGTTTCAGCTTCTTACTACCGTTTGGACCATTTCCCTCCATCTTCATCAAAAAGATACTTTATGGTGAATTGAGAAGTTCCATTGGGCAACCACAGAGACAGATGTGTGTGAATGCACATACGTGCACAAGCTAGGCTGCTGAGTCTGAATGCTAGAGGCTCCCCTAGTGCAACCCTCTGTTAGAATTTATCCTGTGGAGAATTGGAGTGCTTCTGAGGTTAGTTTTCTGTTGTATTTACAAAAATTTATCATATTCACCAAATCCAGAGTCTCTTACTCCTAGAAGAGTCTGACTTCCCCTTGCTCTCTGTATTACTAGTTTTTACCCCAATGTTTTGAGGTGGGATTGGAAAATAAATGACTAGCTGTAATGTTGACACACATTAGGCTCTTATGTGGCTCAATTTTTATCAGGCTAGGAGGAATACCTGTGGGAGTAGTTGCCGTAGAAACCCGAACAGTGGAACTCAGTATCCCAGCTGATCCTGCAAACCTGGATTCTGAAGCCAAGGTAGGTCACCCCGAGTACAGTATATGCCTGTGCTTGGAGCTGTGTTGCCCATCTGCAGAGCCTGTGGATGTACTGGGAGCACTGCAAACCATCAATTTTAGAGGGAAGGGCAGTCAGCAGCCGTGAATGAGTTCAGACCATCTTGTGCTCTTAAGATGATACTAAATGTACTTCAAGATAAATTCTGCTTGAAAAATTAAATAGGCCTTTACAGTTGTCTTGCTGATGCTGGAAAATAGTTGGGGACGTGGTCTTAGAGAAAGGCAGCCGAGACAATGCCAAGGGCTCTTTGGTCTCAGATTCTCTGAACACACTCATGGAAGAGCTACTGCTAGAATTAATAGTGGAGTCTGCCAAATTGTGAACACCACAGCCTGTCCTTTTTTAAAGGATGGATAGCATTTTCACATCCTGACAAGATCCAGAAAATGAGTTGTGGGGAGATCGGGGAGGAGGTTATTCAGCAGGGTCACAATGAGTGTCCCTTTATTAACCACAGAAAAGGAAAAGGAAAAGCTGCACTAAGCACAGAGGTGAAGGACTTGGAGCCTTTGTGCAGTTGGCCACTTGGAGGAGTTGAGTCTAAAGTTGCCCTGGGAAAGCAAGGGTACTGAGTGCATCCTTCCATTAGAAGCAGTAGGTTTCTCTCTTTTGACTAAAGAGTGGAGGTGTCATCAGCAATCAAAAAGAGGATTGTTTAACAAAGTCAAAGATCCAGGATCTTTTTTCCTACTTCAAAGAACATCTTTATCATGAACAAACCTGGTGGGGGTTTTTGTTTTGTGGTTTGTTTGTTTTTTTAGTTTGATTTTGAATTTTTAATCAAACCTTATTCACCTTGGACAGATTCCCCCTCAAATTGTGTCTTCCTTTTTCATTTTCCCCAATAGATAATCCAGCAGGCTGGCCAGGTTTGGTTCCCAGACTCTGCGTTTAAAACCTATCAGGCTGTCAAGGACTTCAACCGTGAAGGGCTGCCTCTGATGGTCTTTGCTAACTGGAGAGGCTTCTCTGGTGGGATGAAAGGTGAGTGCCTGGCTCTGGGCTGGGGGCCTCACTGGTTCCCCTGAACCCTGCAGCAGAGGGAGGGAGGGCTTATATTGGGCAGAGCCTATGAGTGTCCTGGAGCCCATTACCCTAGGCCAGTGGTCGGCAAACTCATTAGTCAACAGAGCCAAATATCAACAGTATAACGATTGAAATTTCTTTTGAGAGCCAAATTTTTTAAACTTAAACTATATAGATAGGTACATTGTTATTAACTTAATTAGGGTACTCCTAAGGCTTAGGAAGAGCCACACTCAAGGGGCCAAAGAGCCACATGTAGCTCGTGAGCTGCAGTTTGCCGACCACGGCCCTAGGCTTTTGGGGGATTGTGCATCCTCTGAGATATCTTCTGAGTGGTAACCTGAATGGGAAAATTCAATGTTTTACAATTCCATACAAAATATCAGAACAATCTGCTAGTGTTATCTAGGTGGACTGCTATTATGGATTAGGTTTCACAGGTGAATGGTGGTCCTTGAAACATATGATCCCTCTTTTCTGGACAAACTTTTTGTTGACGTTACTCTTTAACACTTTACAATGACCAAGACAGATACTGAAATTAGCCTTTACCAGAAGAAAACTAACAAAGTCTATAGCAGTGGCTGTTCTTGGTGGTAATTTGTGATATGTTTTATTATTATCCAACAGCAGCCCTGGGCCTGGGCTCCAGCCTATTAGACCATTATTAAAGGCTGGGCTCTCTGTTGTGGGAATTGCTTAGTGACTAGGCAGCCAGTGTCCCCATTTACAGAGAATCCTGTGTGCGCAGAACCACTGCAGACAGTTCGGGGAACACCACGGGAAACACGCTCTGCCTCTTCGAGTAGCCGAGCGCCTCTCCAGTGGCCAGAGATTCATGGCCATGCTAAGGCCAGAACAACATTCCGGGCGAGGATGCGTGTGCTGAGGAGTGTCACAGGACTCAGGGTTCTGAAGTGTAGTGGGGGATGGGTTAGGGGAACGGGAGGGAGGAATTGATACTGCTGGAGTAAATAGAGTGATGAGAAGGACACCGAAATGCCTTGGGCAGGGGCATCTCTAGCTCTGAGGGAGGAAACAGGAAGTTACCCTTTTATAGATTACCAGGTCTGTGTGGAGAGAGATTCTCAAGCCTTATGCTAACAACTTTTCCTTGCTTGGCTAGGAAAAGCCCTGGATGGCCAGGCTTTCCTGGCAAAATGTAGACGACTAAGACGATTTTTTGTTACTCTAGTTGGAAAGCACCCTTTTGCCCATATTTGCTGGAGAACTACCACATTTTAAACTTTTCTTAGGAGAGACTTAGACTATAAATGCAAATTAAAGTTTGCATACTTTTATAGACTATCAAGGTGAATTTTTTTTTAACCAAGATAATAAATCGGTGGAAATACCATGAGACATGGAAAGTATAGGTTAAATAAGTCAATCGTACAAATTTTTATTGACTTCCTATATGCAAGGAACTATGCTAGCTACTGCAGAGAAAACAAAAACAAGTCAGAAACAGACACTGCCTCAAGGAATTAAGAAAAATGTCTTGGGCAGAATGATAAAGTCATAATGTATAAACAAAATACCACCGTGTTCAAAAGAGGACGATGCTATATTAAGTTTGGGGGAAAGGGGCCTGAAACCCCTTTTATTTATATATATATATGAGGTTCATTTAGCGTCAGATTTCACTTGATCCCAAATTCCTTGGCTGTAAGACATTAAGATTTAAGAGAGAATGCAATGCTATTACTTCTTAGTTACATCTCTTCTGAGGGGCAGGGGGCATTGCATATTACTTAGGAGTAAGTCAGCCTGGCTATTTTGTCTAATGAATTCAGAGATCATAAGTTTGCCATGTGCCTCTTGTAGGAAAAGCTTCAATTCTGCTACATATTTGATCCCAGGCCTAGATTGGCTGCTAGCCCTGTAACAGTAGGAACAACAACAATTAAGATTCACTGAGCTCTTTTCGCCATTTCACAGTTTCCACTGTGCTCATCATTTCACATGCATTATCTTACATAATCACAACAAGCACCTCTAAGGGGTCGGTTATATTATTATCTGTAATTTACATAAATTGAGACTTAGGTTAAGTATATTTGCCAAGATCATTTAGCTAAAAATGACAGATTTGGGAAAGGAACATGGATCTGTCTGACTTCATATAGCATAGTTGGCTGATTTTTAGAGCCTAGGACCGGACCTGATCTGCTAGAATATCCCTAGAATAGAGGATCTAGATTCCTGAGAAAGTTACTGTTCACCTGCTTCCCCTCTGCTTTGGAGTTGGTTATTGTGAGAAGAGCTCAGAAATAAGTTACAGTTCTTTATTGTGGTAAAATATACATAACATTTTATCATTTTAACAATTTGTAAGTGTACAATCCAGCAACATTAAATACATTCACAATGTTGGGTAACTATCATCACTGTATATACCCAACTTTTTCATCATCCTCAACATAAAATCTGTACCCATTAAACAATAACTCCCCCTTTTCCTCTCCCCCCTACTTCGGGTCAAAAATGAGTTATTGGGCTGCTGTAGACCAATTTTCTGAATTTTGGTGCTGCTACATTCATTTACACATTATTTAAGACAAAAAAGCTTTGGGGAAGATAGATATCAGTGTGAAAATAGGAGAGGGAGGAAGAGCATAGCCTTTCGTATTTACATACAGTCAGGATGTTCTCTACATATTATCTCATGTAACGGGACCTAGGCTGAGAGTCATTCCATATCCCTCGGGGAGATGTTTGCAGTTTTGGTTTCAGTACTGGCTGGAGATTATGCAGAGAGGGAAAATAAACAATTATGCCATCCCTCAGTGCACACAAACACACAGCCAGGAGCCGACTGCACTGTGGGTAAAATGACTCCAAAATTGTGTGTAATGAGTAGGAAAAGATTAGAGACAGCTCTTGCTATGCTGAAAATTGACATTATTGGGGGGGGGGGGGGACTCTTTACTAGTCGGCCTAGGAGGTCTAATTCGAGCAGTAAAAATATAAATAAATAAATAAAAGCATGTCAAGATGGTATTGGTGCTTTTTTCCCAATGAGTTCTATCTGGCCGGAAGGCTATTCAGCATAATGCAAAATTAAATTATAAAAACTGGCTGAATATTTAGATGGAAGAGCCATTTGGAAGCAGTTTATTTAGACGAACCGGCAATGACCCACAACAGGGAGACATCAAGCGTGAAATTTACTAGAAATTAGCACCAGGGTCCCAGCCTCAGCATGAATAGCTTGATAGGATGCAAATCCCAGTGATATTAAGCCGCCTCACTGCTGGTGCTACAGGGTCACTCTCAGTTGGCTTTTCATGTTATACTTATTATTTTTTCCTGGGACAGGTTATAAATAACAATAAAAAAAACATTTATTGAAAACTTTAACTGGAATGAAAGTCTTATGTTAAAGCTTCTGATTACTTGGATGTTGAAATAGAGTGTCAGCCAGCCATAATGAACTCAAGAGACAGCATGTGTGTGCAGCTTGGTTATGCCTAATGTTTACCTTCAGCTTCTAACAGATAATCTCTCCCCAAGTCAATATGATCTGTTCTAGCTTCCAGAGTGTGGGGCACTGTGCAAACACCCTGCCACCCTGCTCGCTTGTTTGTGCATGTGGTGGCCTCGGTTTATCCATGCTGTGTAAGCGAAGGCCCTGGGCAGGGTTGGTGTCTGGGTGCTGAGAACACACTGGAAGAGCTGTGTGATCCCCGTTCACGCAGATGTTCTTTGCTCAGAATGCTGGAAAGCTCCAAGCTCCTGCCTCTCCAGTAAAGAACCTATCAGTATTTTCCATTCCCAGTTGCATTTCTTATGGCCTGAGAATTGACAGTCAGCATATGCATAGCTTTAGAATTCCCTAGACTGATGTCTAGCCTAAACCCTTGGAGAGAGCCCCTCCCTTGCTATTCTTGGTGGTGATTTTGCTCTGTCTCTTAAAAATGGATTTCAGACAAGTATGTGTCAGATTGTTGCCAAGTGCTTCAACCTGCCTTTCAGAATGTCTGGCTTGGGCAGCTTTGATTCAGTGTGAGCCTGTTGTTTGTAGAGTTTGTTTGTTTGTGTGTTTGTTTATGTTTCAATAGCCTTTGTTGATTGTTGGGTGTTTTGATGGTTGGATTGTGGGTCTGTTGGTATTCCAGGTTAGATGGAGGTATTTTTTTCAGTCCCCAGTTTGTCAGCTGTGATAAACCTTGATGCCCCTTTTCTACTCGGTCTTGGGGCCTGAAAGATAATTGTTTGATACAAGCTGATAGTATCGTCAGTACCATTTCTGGCCATTCAAAGGATCCAGGTGAAATTTAGAAATATTGAATCATTTATTCAAGTCTCTTCTGGTTTCTGTTTTACTCACCATCGTATCAAATGCTGGAAAGCAGACTACCTCAGCCTCGTGCCCTCTCTGTGCAGTAAGAATGATGAGTTAAGAATGAGGTAGTAGAATGTGGACTTTAGATCCCAAAAGATCTTGGATCAAGTCTTATCTCTGCCACTTAATTAAGCCCCAGGTTACTCACCTGTAATTTGGATATAAGAATAAGATGATTTTCTGATGACTGAATAATTTATGTGTGAATATATATGCAATCATGCTTCTTGGTATTCACTAAACTAGCTGTGATGATGAAAAAGAGAGACCACAGTCCATTTCACAGAAATAAAAAATGCACACATACTCAATTTCATCCCAAACTATATGCATATACTATGAAGCCAACTTTTTTAAATCAACCAAATGGAAGTACACTTCAAAGTCCCCCCCCCCTTTCTTTTTGGGACCTGGGTCTATTAATCATAGATAGTACAGAGACAGATTTTGATGTAAGTATGTCTTTAAGAAACTATTGAAGAAGCTGGAAACTCTCCCTGCATTTATTTCTAAGTTACTTTTTGCTTTTGCACATGGGATGACAGTTTTGTGCTATTTTTCTGTTGTTTTACTTTTTATTTATGCCTTTCATTTCTTCTCTGTGTGTGATACCGTTGAGGGCCACTCCTTTCTGTGACTTGTTCTGAGACTGTACTCTTGGCAGCACTGAAAAATGTATCGCTAATTACACAATTATTTTATTATGTAGCACTGGTTGAAATATCCACTAAAGAATTAATTTAGTTAAAATAATTTGAACTGAGCAATTATTTTCATAACCACAGAATTAGCGTGAAATGCTTAAAGTCTTTTATTCCTTGCCTTTCATACAGCAGTAGTGTAATTAGCAGTAAATTTTTTTGTCTTTGCTTTCCTCCCAAAGGAATAAATGTCTTTGCTCTGATCATAATACAAAGTAAATGGTCATACACATTCCTCACAGAGGAGGGAGTTTTTTCTGGGGCAACTTCTGGAGTTTTGGAATTTGAAGTCTTCACAGACCAGTCAGGTTGGGGAAGTGGAGAAGGCATGTGCCTTGCAATGAACTCTGCTCACGGAGGGTTTGTGCATAGAGCCATTTTTACTTGGGAGAAGGTGGCAGTTTAATTTGCCAGTTACTACAATGAAAGCAATTTCTATTTGGTTCACTCTTAACTTCCTGAAAAATGCTTCTTTGCTTTGGATTTCCAGAATTGATTTATTCCAAATTGAGATCCTCTCCTTGATAGAAAAGTTTGAACTCCGTTGAACCTGTTATTTGGTGTTTAAAAAGGATCCATTGTGGTTCCACGGAAGTACTCATTAAACATCTGGAATCATAAACCTCAAGCTTTAGCAATGTTTAGACTGCAGTGAACTAGGAAATGGGAAGAAGTTCATAAATTATTGGGAAATAAATAACCGATCCTACTTTCCAAGGACTCACTTTATTTATGTACCAGGGGTCTTTTCTTCAGGCTGCTCTTGGCCTTGGGGACATTACAAAGTGTACTCGTTAGCAAAACGAAAAGGTGGCTCCTCTTTTTATGTATCTGAGACATTTCCAATAAATACACATGCATTTACATTTTTTCCTCTCACTGAAACCCTGATAATGCAACCTTTAAAGAATTAGTTTTTCTTTCTCACTGCATTCTTTGCAAAGTGTGTAGATGCTCATCCATTCAGCAGACACGTGGTGAGCACTATGTTCCAGGCACTGGACAGGACACTCTGGACACAGAGATAAAAGATACAGTTTTTGAAGGCTCCTTTTCCATTAGCTGCACATATTAAGAGCTTATCATATGCTAAGTATCATGAGAAGAATTGAGAAGAGCTTGAATAGTTCCTTCAGAAAATGTAGGGAGAAAGATCACATATTGACATAAAAAATACTTAATGTTTGTAGAGCAAGTGTGAATTAATGTGGTGAGACCTGGTACAGAAATTCAGGGAGCGTATGAAATGGATATGCACACTGAGTCTTGTGAAAGACCATGCCCTTCTCTGTGCTGTTGAATATAGGGGGAGCTACCAATCTCTCTGGTCTTCAAGGAGGCCAAACAGGACACCCTCAGGTCTGTCAGCGGCTACCTCGTGGAGGCACAGTGTGCCTTTTAAATATTATTTTTTATATGTGCAATGATGTGATCAGTGTTTCTTCATTTCTAATTTGTCTCATTCTCCATAGATATGTACGACCAAGTGCTGAAATTTGGTGCTTACATTGTGGACGGCTTACGGGAGTGCTCTCAGCCTGTGATGGTCTACATCCCTCCCCATGCCGAGCTTCGGGGCGGCTCCTGGGTCGTGATCGACCCCACCATCAACCCCCGGCACATGGAGATGTATGCCGACCGGGAAAGCAGGTAGCCTCCTTCCTATTTCCATCCACTGCCTCTAGGGGTCCTCTGGCTGCTGGTTTCCTCCTGGAGAACTTGATTTGCATCTGTCCTTTCCCAGAGGACTCCAGGGCAAAAAAAAAAAAAAAAGGACTTTCCAAATGGTGTCAGCTGGCTGGAGACAGAACGAGGCTGCAGGCAGGTTCTCTCGGTGTGATACCCCACTCCAGATTCTTTTTTTTTAAAAATATATTTTATTGATTTTTTTACAGAGAGGAAGGGAGAGGGATAGAGAGTTAGAAATATCCATGAGAGAGAAACATCCATCAGCTGCCTCCTGTACACCCCCTACTGGGGATGTACCCGCAACCAACGTACATGCCCTTGACCGGAATCGAACCTGGGACTCTTCAGTCCACAGGCCGACACTCTAGCCACTGAGCCAAACTGGTCAGGACTACCACTCCAGATTCTTTTACCACAAAGCCTTCTATTCTAGGAACCCCCAGCCTCAGAGAGTCTCTCTTCCTATTGGATATTCAGATATGCCTACTCACTCTCTCCTTCCGCTATGTTGCGGAAGGATAAGGCAAGTTGGAGGGGAAGAACTGAATTGTTAGTGTGAGGTTCTCAGGCCTTATTAACCCAGGTCTGCCGCTGGCTAGTGGGGAACTGGGAGCAGTCCTCCCTCTCCCCAGCTGCTTCTCCTTGTCTGTGGAACAGGCTGGGTGGTCTCTGAGGTCCAGCACGGCACCCACATCCCATGATTCTAAACCAGAGCTTCGCCCTCAGAGTCCAGTGTCTTACTCTGGCATTACAGGAGGCCTGGAAAACAGTGTTTGCAGCACCCAAAGAACTTCAAGAGAAAATCCCAGGTTTTTGTTGGAAGGTGATACCTGAACATCCTTAAGTAAAAAAGATCCAGTCCAGCTTCCTTTCATAATCTGTTTTCAACCCTTTCCAAAGTAGGTAAATTTCACATATTTCCTTGACATCTTCCATGCCATTTCCTATATCCAGTCATTTTATTAGAACACCTGTGTCCCTCTTTTCCCAAACATGTCAGCCTCCTACTTCAAAACCTGCTTAGGAGAACCCAGTAGTTTTATTGTCAAATCATTAGGCTTAAGTTCTGTGCTTAGGAATTTATTATTTTTAAGTGCTAACCCAGCCCCTGATCTGATATCAGATCAAAGACAATTCCCGTGCAGATTTTGGAACAAGACTGGTTTTAAATACACCTCTGCCCTTGTTAGACTTGTACAAGTCTCTTCACTTGCTGTACCTTCACTTGCGTATCTGTAGGATGGAGGACAACAATGCCTGAACGTTTCTATGTCAGCTCTTAGAACGGTGCCATGAACACAGTAACCATGAGCAGTAATTTTTTCAATGTAAAAGTTTAGAAAAAAGAAAGGTGTTTAGGTAAGTTCCTGGTCATAGAACATCATTAGATGTAACCTGAGATCTTTCACTTTAGTAAGCAGAACATTTTTCTACTGCTTGACCTGGCCTCGTGCTGCCAGCAGACTGGCAGCTGTGTGTAGGACTATCGGCATCAAGGGCTGGAGGTTGTTCCCCTGCCAGCGGAAAATAATGGGACTCCTATTACCCTTATCAGCTGTAGGTGGTGGAATCCGTATTCTTCTCCCTTTGAGGTGGAAGTAGACTGGTGTGGTAATGAGAATGCTTTAATTGCCTTTTGCCAGGCCTTTCTCATACCTCACTGCGATACTTCTCTGGTGCCTGCTTCTCTCCCTGGGATTACGTCTGTGAACCATGGGTGGGCAAAACCATAATGAAGCTATTTCCTGGTCCACAAATTGTAACTGGCCTCATTCTGTTGTCTCCTCCTTTAAAGGGCCTCTATTTCTGTTTTGTTATGTTTTCTTTCTTTCTGTTTGATCTAGGGCATCAGTTCTGGAGCCAGAAGGGACTGTAGAAATCAAATTCCGCAAAAAGGATCTGGTGAAAACTATGCGTCGGTTGGACCCCGTCTACATCCACTTGGCTGAGCGATTGGGTATGTCTGCTTGTGCTCCTGGCAAATCAATGAGCCATTCAACTGATTTGTAATGAGTGCATTCTAGGCCAAGGGAGGAGGCACTGAAGCATTTGATCAAATTCATGATAATCTTTATTTACTGTCCTCTATATGGTAAGAACCCTGGTAGAATAAAATAGTGTGTGTAATAGGAGGGAAAGTGGGCCCTAAAAAAGAAAAAGTCACCCGATTTTTCTTCTGGTCCTTATAGTTCCAATAGCCCATCTTTCTAGGCTTGTGGATATCCTTGTAAAGGATGATTAGCTAGAAGCTGCTATTGGGCAGGCTAATCAGTCAGAGAATATGCTAGCCTTAAATGTCCTGCTTCCGCTTGCCTCGTTTCTGAGGAATGTGAGAGTCAGTGTCATGGGATAGCAAAGCTGGAAACCTACCCAGGTGGTGTTCTGGGGCCATTCTGAGCTAGAGAAATGGAAATAAAGATTGTGCACCCCGTGCTTCCAAGCAGAGGCTGTGGCAGCAGTAGCCCTGGGAGCGTTTGCGCTTCATGCCTCCAGCCAGGGCTCTGTTGCTCATTTGTTTGTGGAACTTTTGGAAGGCACTTGCAATTTGCACATAGGACTACACCGTGGGAGCCCTGTGTTGTGTTCAGAGTCTGAATGAGTTTCAGATTCTTTTAAAACACTGATTTTCTGCCCAGGTCTCCCATTGAGCCCCTTGCTGTGTTAGTAAAGATAATTGCTTGAGCTTCTTTTGTTTGTTGGTTTGTTTTGTTTTCAGAGAAGCAGAGAGATTGTCTTTAAAATGTAGTGAAACGCAGTGAATGGAAAGTGTAAAAAAGAGAGATGCTAGCTCATTTATGTTCCAAATAGTAATTTAATTAATGAAGTGCCATTTGTGGACTCTCTATATCCTCACCATCTTAGAGACGCAGAAACTTCTGAGTGTTTGCTTCCAGTCTACAGTTTGCACATCCTGGGGTTTGCAGCCTTGAGCCAGGTTGCTTGCCCTACACAGTGACAATAATCACTGTTTGTGTCCCATTGTTTGCCATTAGGCAACAGCCACCAATAACTACCCCACCGCAGCCTGGGCCTTTTATGGGAAATGCACACATACAACAAGAAATTGGCAAAGTTGTCTCTAAAATCTATTGCCACCCAGAGTTACTGAGGTGGGTGTTTTCCCTCTTTCTTCTCCAACAGGATAATTACTTCTGACCAACCCCATACACTTTAATTAAAGTAACTGCAGCTCAAGAGCAAGTTCCTCACAACTGCACACAGAGAAAGCGCTAAAAGCTTCAGCCACCGATAAGCATCTCACTTAGATGGCGCATAATTGCTCCCAGCATCCAGCGATCGTTGCTGCTGTTTGTACCACTAATTCTGTAGAAAAGCAGCAATGCCACAATCGCAGGACACAGCAAATTGCATAATTTTCTCTCTTTTTTTTTTCTTTTTTGCTGGTTTTCTTTCTGGCCAATTTAAAATTTGTCAAAGTCGGTCTTCTTCTGGATCACTGCCCTTTGATATTTCGTGCACTCCATTTGCCACAAACAAGCCGCAGGGCCGCAGTTCATGCTGACTCTAGCAGAAGCAGAGAGAGCTCCATTTATCTTACACTGCCTGCTGAATTCCTGCTCATTAACTGGGGGTTCACTGCCTCTTTTTAACCCCCCAATAGCTGTTATCATCCCTTCGGAGTAACTGGGTGGTAGGAAGAGGGATCCTCTCGGACATCTGTTTGCGGGATGCCTGGGTGGCGAGGGGGGGGGGAGGGGGGCTGAGGCTTCTTCCTCTCCAAGGGAAGTGACATCGCTCCCACCTTCACCCAGCACCTTTCCACTTCAGAAACATAGGAGGGCGAGAGGGAGGAGATTCCCAAGTGATGGCCGTTTAATCACTTGTTACAAATCATCTCATTATCAATTTACTGTCCGCGTTGAAGAAAACCATATTTATTTAACCTTGACCAAAATGGCACTAGAGAAGGAATCCTTAGTCTGCTAAATGTGAAGCAGGCTCTGGCCCAAGGCTGCTTGGGAGCATGAGCAGTGGGTGTGGAATAAAAGCAGCTAGGTACACCTCTTGGTTATGTTGCCTGCAGGTAAATTGTTTAACTGAACGTCAGCTTCTTCATCTGGAAAGGGGGGACAGGACCCCCACAGAGCACATGTGAGGACCAAGTTGAACGTGCTTTAGCTTTCGATCTGTGAGGCATTTTTCAAACCTGGAGATTGGCATAATTTCCTATCCATCTTAATCGTTAGAAGAAGCAGATGGGCCATGTTTGGTATCGGGCACTCTCTGTGGCTGAGGTCCACTTTTGCAAGTGGTATAGGAAAGGAAGTAAGAAAGAGACAGAAGTGACCTCTCAGGCGTTGGCAGTCTTTCAGGGAGCCCAGACCCACCCCGGTGCATCTGTGACACACAGATCAGCAGGGATGTCACAGGACAGGCCAGGACCCAATTCCTTTGGGGCTCACATTGGCTTTTGGCTCCTTTCTCAGTGCCTAGAACCAGAGACTGCCAGACTGCTTTTTCACAAAGGGGGTGAAAGTGACCTCATTTTCCAGATTGGGAGATTGAGGCAAAAAAGAAGAGTTAAATGAATCATTCAAATACAAAATAAATGTGCGTTGGAGCCCAGAGTGAAATTCTGGTTCCCTATGTTCTACTTTTCTTAGGATTTCCTCAGATTCTACCTCAGGTGAAGACTGAGCCTGATCAAAATTAAACAAGAATTCTTTCCCTTTGTGATCAAAAGCCAATTCCACTGAGAAAAACCAGGTTTAGGAGAAAGCCTGCAGGAGTGGATGTTACCTTATGTCCCAGTCTCCTCCCAAATCGGCCTCCGCGCTGGGGAGCATGCTGTCAGAGCACCGAGAGCGGGCTGTTTCTGCCAAGGCCATGTGGGCATTTATAGCATCATTCACAGGCCATGCAAAGTTATCAACTCAAACATCACCTGCTATCCTTGGTCAGACATTTAACTAGCTCACCCCTGAAGACTTGGCAGGGCCAGACCAAATGATTTCATGGACCTTATACTGCCTGTGGGCCGGACGTTCCCCACCCCTGACCTAGACAAACCAATGCACCACCGATTGTGCTCAAAAACATAAGTACTATTATTCTGTAAGTAATGAGTAATGTTTAATTTCTGAACAGTTAACTTCATCTCTTTCAGAATTTTTACTTTTTAAAAGTGACCTTTTTGTCATGTCACATACTTAGTTTAGGTAGGAAGGTGGTGGATTACTAGTTTGCAGTCTGAGATTATAACAGTATGGAAACCGCACACACATTGATTCCTGGTAGAGGTGAAGGAGAGAATTTCCCCAGAGAGAAATGTGATGTAAGCCCAATGCTGGAGCCTTTCATTGCTGGACCAGTTCTCCCCCTGCATTCTCGGCACTGGGGCTTGGTTAGAGGCGTGGGGAAGATTAGCATCCTACCATTCTGGTTGCCTTAGGGAATTAAATTCCTCCTCTGGCGATAGAGCCCCCGCCCTTCAAGGCCTCCTTGTGTCTCTGTGACATTGTATCTCCTCACAGAGACAGGAGCAGGGAGCCTGGCTGCAGAGCGGGATGGCCTTCCTAGCCTGGCCTCCGAGTGCCAGCATGACCTGAGGTCCTCACCTCGATCCTCCCCCTCCTCTTGTGTTCAGAGGGAAATGACAAATCAATTTAGATAGAGAGAACTGTCCAGCTCAAGTGTGAAGCCATTGTGCTTTCTCCACTGTCCCTCTCCCTCAGTACAATCGGCTCCTCTACAAAGAGCAGAGGAGCCGATGAGTGGAACTTTATTGTGCTCTAGACACATCTCCATGGTGGCCCCGTCCCCAGACAGCCGGGCAGCCTGCCATGCGGCACCTTGGCTGTGCCCACACGGAGCACGCCCTGGGAGTGGCTGTCCGACAACAGGCAGAGGCAGCACTGGCCTCCCTGCACCCGGCACCCCTGGTCCGGGGCCCCCCAGGTGCAGGTGGCATGTCGTGGCTGCAGTGAGGCTGGACTGTCTGCAGAAATCTCCAGGATGCCTTCCTCCCAAGCTAGCAGCCAGGATGACAGGAAGGGACATTCCTGGGGGTCAGGTGCGGGGGGCCGAGCTGCTTCTCTGGCTGAGATGATCACGTATCTGAGCTGTGTGTGTTTTCACATCTGTGTCCATCTTCAAGATGTTGCAACTGAAGAGCGCCAAAGTTTGCTTGTTTGAGGCAGAAAGCAGCACCTTTACTGGAAAGGACACTAGGAAAGAATTAAGTTCCACTACCCACGTCTGGGAAGTAGCCTCTGGCCCTCTCACCATCGTACATGGAGCGTCCTCACTAACCATGGCCACCTAACCACAGGCTCTGTTCTCGGCAGGCACAGGATGGAGCCTCCGCCTTGAAATGAGCAGCAGCTTAAAACCTACCCCATCCCACTGATTCAGAAGCTCTTTGGTCTGATGCAGTTTAGTGCAACAGTGACAGTATTTTCCGGAAGGAGAAGGGAAGGGGTCGTTTGGTCTGAGCCATTAACGTGGTTGTATTTATAAAAGCACGCGGGCTTGCCTCTTCCCAGGAAGAAGTGATTCACAATTCTGTCCAGCCAGAGGACCTGCAGGCATTTCCTGAGACTGACCTAAGCTCCTGCCTGCCTGGAGGCTGTCACCAGGACATGTCTGTCCCCACTTGCCCCATTGACCCAGATCCCTGTTCCTGCACCTGCCCAACTCAGGGAGAGCTACTTGGAGAAAGCACAGAGGAAAGACTCCCAGGATATTGCCACGAGAATTCAGAGAATTCTGTGCTGCTTCCTGATTCTTTTGTGTGGGGTGTTTGCTTGGGAGTGCAGGGCTGCAGGGGGAGTCATCTAATTTTTATTCCTATTTGGAAATCTCTGGGTTTACTCTAATGACTTTTTAAAAATATGAGCAGCAGAGCACTACACCATTGCCAGGAAACTTAGGGTTAAACATCCCCTGAGAGGATTGCTGTTAAAATCAATATGCAAATGAAGTTGTGTTTAGATA